CCTCTCTCTCTCTCTCTCTCTTTCTCTTTTCCCGGCAAGGATAATATCCACAAAGTATTCCGGAAAAAACAGTTAGCGGTAGAGAAGCAAAGTGAAGACATTGTGAATCCTTGAATAGATAGATACATCTGTTTACAGCCACTGTCACTCTTGTCAATGTCTCCTACCCCCCAAAGAGGGAGAGAGAGAGGAGAGGAAGAGGGAGGGAAAATGTAATAACTGATAAGGCGGTATTTCTCGGATAATATCTCTCGATGTGATGGTCCCCTCTTCTATTGAACAGGGAAGGTCCCCCATTCCCCGTATGTTTACAAGCAATTCTACACATAAAATGCTATGAAGGATTAGTAGGGAGGAGGGGGGAAAAACATCTATTACTAAATAACAAACGAAAGTGAGCAACAAATTAGTATAAGGGGAAATTTGAAAAAAATTCTCGAGAAATCTCGAAATTAAAAAATGAGTTAAAATTTACGATATCTTAAAATTATCACACCAATCCGAAATGCTTTTTCGTGTCAATCTTTAAATTTAAAACTTAAATTTTATATCAATTTAATTTTTCGAAATTTTATTTCGTCGAAAAATTCAACTTAACTTTTTCGAAATCTGAACAAGGTTAATATTTGATATCAATTGAGATTAATTACTGCTTTATTAGCTAATACTTAATCGATTATATATCTGTAAGTATTTCGATACTGAAATTTTTACCTACCGGAAAGAAGTTATGCATGAGTCGGAATAACTCCTTATCCTTATTTATTTCGCATAATGTGCATTTTTTTTAAATTCATAACAAATTCTTATTTGTTTCCAAAAAAAAAAAAGAAAAGAAAAATTTCGTTAAAATCCGAAAAAATATGTTCCAAAAATAGTACGAAATAGAATGTAATAAATTGAGAAAAATTATGATAAAAATCTGGCAAATTATTTAAAATTTTTTTTTCTTTTTGAAATTTGATTTGCTTCATCTTTTTGATCTTTAAATGACACGAAAAATAAAAAGGGAAGAGTTAAATATAATGTTACAATTTTAAAATCACCAAGAAAAAAAAAAAGTCCAAAAATAGATGATAAGTAACTGAAGTTGTAGTATCAAAATATTACGACAAATGTCATATTTAAATGATATATGGCTCAGAAACTTTTCAGCTTTTTGAGAAAGCCAAATACCTCGAAGATTGTGAGTTTTTTTTTTTGGCGAGCCTAATGACTATAGGCTCTTTCTTTTTTTTTTTTTTCTTGTATAAATTACGATATCTAAAGCCTTATTAATAGTAGTATGATGGTATGATTTGATGGCAATTTTTTGTAATATAGCTAAATTAAAATAGAATTTAAGCTTATATATTAATCTCCATGTTATGCGGAACAATTACTTATCAAAATTGTTCAATAAATTTAAAATTACTAAAACCAAAATTACTCAACAATTGCTGGTCAAAATTACTCAGTAAATAAGAACTCAATTACCTTTGGAAAATAAATTATAAAATAAATAAATCATTAAATGATCAGATAGGTAAAGTATAATTCTGTCGTATAAACGAGATATAAATGAGAAATCTCACTTGAATTATCTGATTTATCACAAAGAAAAGGTATATATATCTATTCATTTATTTATTTGTTTACTTGTTTATTTATTTTGTTTATTTATTTATTTATGCTTTCTCCTTCATTGTATGCCAAAAAAATTTGAAACATTTGCATAGAAGCGTTGAAATATATCCGCAATATTACAGTTAAATTACAATCAAATAGAATAATTAAAATTTCCTGCAATTAATTGTAATTAATCACATCAACAAACTTCTCAATTATTAAATTACTGTTTTTACTTTGCAATCAATTCTTATTATTTTTTTATATGGGGGAAAGGATATGTGCAAATGCTTTTTTCTCCCTTTTAATTTCTGTTTTATATAAACTATTTTTGTTTGGATGAAAAAAATGAAAAACAAAAACTGAAATTAAATTGAGAAAGGTGATTATTGACTAAATTGATAAGGTTATTATTGATAAAGTTAATAAGAGTATTGCTAAGAATATTAGTAAGATAAACTATTGATAAAGTTACTACTAATAAGTTACTACTACTAATTACTACTAATACTATTAATAAGGTTACCCCTAAGGTTACTATTGATAATGTTATCACTACTACTACCTGGCTTATGCAAAAATTAACAGAGTGAATTAGAGATAGATTTCAAATATTATTTTTTTTGCCGGACAAAAATTATGCCAAATATTGTAAAGCATCCCAATGTTCCATTCCGGAAATATTTCATAAGAAATTTTTTTCTTGATTAATGTTAATGAAAAATGATACCATTTTGTTATGATGGACAGAACAATTTCATAGAAATACTTCGAATATTTACAATTAAATTTTTACGCTACTGTGTTTTGCCGCACCATCCTCTGCATTGGTACAGTTCCTTACCACATTCCGCTGGTCATTTTTGTCACTATACGGTCCCTTTCTCACTGGGTTACCCGTTCGCATTTTTTTTTTTCACACAATCCCTCATATAATATATTTTCCCAGCTATTTTTCTTTCATCATTAAAATACATTGTTTGTCACTTTGACATTATCAAACCATACTTTCCACTGGAAAATCCCGAATGATCCGAGATATTTTCCAAATCAGTTAATGTACGGTTACATAACTTTACGTCATCTGACCTCACGTTGTTGATTGACAAGAAAAAAAACAAACAAATCATATTTTCCATTACAAAATCCTAGGTAATCAGGATTGTTCTTCAAATTAGTTAAAGTACGTTTGTTGCTACATAACTAGTGTATAACCTCACGTTATAGATCGATGGATAAACAAAAAAAAAAAACCCAAAAAAACCCATGATATTTTTAAAATTATTGTGGCATCTTTAATACTGTCCACTCAGTTTTTATTTTCCCGTATACTTACTTTCCCTCTACAACAAATAGGTGACACGAAAAAAATTATCTGCTTTATCATGCAAAGAAGATGCTGACATTTCCTATAAGTAAGTATCTGACCTCTGCATGTTTTTGAAAACAGAAATTTAATTACCTTTTCTTCCCATGTTTTTTGTTTTTTATTTTTTGCAAAAAGAAAAACAAATGTTGAATTCTTTGTTCATTTTAATTTATAATACCCATGATAGCATATGATATGAGACAATTGATCGGATATTGTTAACAACACAATTGGAGAACGATAAAATCCATTTTCTTGGCTTTTTCCTTTTTTTTTTTTTGTTTTTATTTTTATAAAAAGTTATTTTGTTCATATAAAAAATAGAAGAAATATTAATAGATACAAAGAGAAAAGCATGATTCATTGTATTTGTGGCTCTAAGAAAGAGCCGTTGGGGTTTTTTTTTTAATGATAAATTTTAGGCACTTTAATGATACCATATAAATTTGATGCTACGTGCTGTAAATTGTACACTTCAGACGGGGCGAATAGGCCAGATTTTATCATGCCTGCGGTATCAATTATCAAGTTGGAATAGTAACAACGTAGCAACAACGAATGGTATCCACACTCTGTTTAAAAATGAGGTAAAGATAAGTTTTTATACTCTTCCTAAGTGGGAGGTGATTAGGCAAAAGGTCAGTGGGGAAAAAGAGAGAAGAGGAAGAAGGAGAGAGAGAGAGAGAGAGAGAGAGATGAGTGAGTGAGTGAGTGAGTGAGTACTATATTACCTGTATTATATAAAGACCTATAGCTATATTACCTATAGTAAAGAGAGAGAGAAGAGAGAACTACCTATGAAGATATTTAATCTGAAATGAGATAGAGGTTCAATCAATAGTGGGTGTGACCTTTGGTCAATAGTAGAAGTGACCATTTAGCAGGAAAAATAAAACATCAAATCTGAAATATGCTAAGGTAACAATTTCAATTTAATCCACTTTATCCACGTTCAATATTTAATTAATTGTTCAAATATTGTATTTCAAATTGATTTTGGAAATCAGAAATGAATGAAATGATAGTGATTTATTAATTTCCTTCTGATTTAGTTATTTAGTATTTAGAGGAAAATTACGATAACAAGCAATTATCACCCATTTTGAAATAATGAGATTAAAATTAATAATTGTAAATTGTGTATTATGATGAATTGCTGTTATATGTTTTAAAATTTTTTCCAATAGTTCCGATGTCTACCGCATATGAAAACGGGACGAAAATCGCGACGAAAGAAGATACGATTTTCGAGGAAGCGACATCGAAAGAATCGAACTGCCGGTTCAAGTACATCGTATGCAACGATACCGAAATCCTATTCGGCAAAGATTTTTGGCGCACTGAAATCGCTCGATCCGGCAAGTGTTATGCAAGCTCAGCAGCTGATGAATCAGTTTGTGAATACAATATTTCAACGATCAGCACAGGATGCACTCAGTGTAAACCATCTACATCCTCCTACATATTACTTATTCACCGTACGATTAACCCACAATCAAACAATCGGTCGAGTTGCGGCTACCAACCAACCACCATATTATTGATAATCAATTCGTTCTATCGAAGAGATGTCATCCGGTAATTGTCGATTACCACCAGGCTATCAGTTCGTTATGATTACTAGTCAGTGTTATCGCCCTCCCCGGTGATAGTGCATGATTAACATTTTGGTTGCGTTGCTTACCTTTTCTTTCGAATGATCCTATTTTACTTACCACTTATTGAATGATTAGAATATCGATACACTACAATTGCTAATTCAACTAGGTTTTTCCGAAATCCTCCGAAGCGCACTACATTCCCCCAATGGATATACTGCTCGACAGTTACTCCTGCACAGTGCCACAGCCAGCATAAGGTTGTATTTACATCGATGCCTTAATAATCAGCTAGTGCGAATAAGAACAATTGCTGATGTATTGCTGTACCATATTCTACCCATTTATTATCCGCCATCATTATCCATTTAAGATAGTAGATCAAACGATATTAACACAAATGATGTCCTGCTAAACTCCTTCCGTGCATGCCCATATATAGCTCACTTCTACTTCAGTGAACAATTTTGTTCGCCAACGGTACGGGACAGAATAACCTCCGATATGTAGTGTCAAATTTTATTGCTCTTACACTAGTAATAAAATGTGACTTCGAATTTCACATTATCCCAAGAGAACCCATGCCTAGTCCACGCATCAGTGTAAATATTCAGCTCAAACTAGCTCAAGTCAATTTAACTTTATTCAAAGCAAAAGTACATTACATCCCACATTGCAGAACATAACAACATGATCCTGACGAACTTTCCTGGTCAACACTCAGTCAGTAGATTCCTAACTAAATAGTTTGTAGCAAGATTCTGAAATACGATCATACGCTGCATCATAACAACAAAGACCGAATTAAAAAGACTGAAAATATTAAACTATTTTCAACAAATGGATTCCCAAAGCCTTTTTCTCCCTGCAAAACCCTTCGTCCCTATCATGAGATCACTTCCAGGAAGTTTCAGACTGCACAGACACTGGACATTACGTCCACACAACTACTTCGAACTTGTATATTTGGTAACAGCTTTGGTCCCCTCGGACACAGCATGCTTTGCCAGTTCACCAGGCAGAATGAGTCGCACGGCAGTTTGAATTTCACGTGATGAAATCGTCGAACGCTTGTTATACTGAGCCAAACGACTTGCTTCCGCGGCAATACGCTCGAAAACGTCGTTTACAAACGAATTCATAATCGACATTGCTTTTGATGAAATACCTACAAAAAGAAAGAAAAAAACGCGTTTAGGATGAAACACAAGTCTAAATACATTTGGACCTATAAGTTCACTTGTAATCCCATCCCAACACATTCATACCTCTCCCGAAAACATCATCTTCGTTAAAAAATCTGTACCTCCCTCACATCTCAATAAAACTCAAAATCGTACCTGTATCGGGATGAACCTGCTTTAGGACACGATAGATATATGCGGAGTATGACTCCTTACGTCGAGATTTCCGTTTCTTATCACTGCCGCGGACTTTTTGTGACTTTGCAGCTTTCTTTGCTCCTTTAGCAGATGGTTTTGGTGGCATCGTTCTAGCAAACCTTTAATTTACGACACACGAGACCTGAAGGGAAACCTTTATCAAAATCAAAAAACCACCCATATCTTTTCTTGACATGAACATTCCAGCGAACAATACGTACCTCATGACCTAATACAAGTTCTGTGAATTTGCTTGAGACAAACTGTTTCATTAAACACTATCACGAGAATATCTCCACACTTTCATCTGCGATATATGACATTTTCTCAAATACGGAACAAACGAAAAAGCGTCGTAGCGACGTACGCACACACCGCACCCCCGATCGATCCAACAGCCATTCGAGACCATCGAACACCCAACCGTAATGCAAAAATACCTCCCAACCTACGGTACCGCGTTGGTAACACCCCGCGCACTTCACACCGGTGAAGTTATCGCCTCCACGAAAATATTTGAACGATAAGCAACTCACTCGCACTCCCTTTTATATGAACTATCGAGCGTTGCATACCACAAGGCCACGCCCACTTTATTATAGGGAGTGGGCGTGGCCGATAGGTTGAGTGCGCTCGCTGACGAATATATATATAGAATGCTTGATTGTGTATAATCAGACGTGCTAGTTTGTGGCAGTACGATCTGGTCGAGCTGGTGAGGTTGGCGGTATTTAATGGTGGTGGGTGTTGTGGGTGAATGGTTGGGGATTCAGCTCTGGGTTGCTCTTGGTTCTCTGAGCATTTCTTAGGGAGGGAGAGGGTGATGATGACTTGTATGGGACTTAAGCAGCTGTTGTAAAGTTTCAGGGGAAGCCTGGCTGTCGTGGGTCTGCGTGAATTCGTTCAGAAGCTAGATTAAGGACTGTTTGGTTTTTTTTTAGATCGAATTATGTCAGGACGTGGAAAAGGTGGTAAGGCGAAGTCTTCTGGGAAGGCTAAAAGCCGTTCGTCGCGTGCTGGTTTGCAATTCCCGGTAGGACGAATTCACCGCCTGTTACGTAAGGGGAATTACGCGGAACGTGTTGGCGCTGGTGCTCCGGTTTATCTGGCTGCTGTGTTGGAGTATTTGGCGGCGGAAGTGTTGGAATTGGCGGGGAATGCGGCGCGTGATAATAAGAAGACGCGAATCAATCCAAGACATTTGCAACTGGCTGTGCGTAATGATGAGGAATTGAACAAGTTGCTCGCTGGTGTAACGATTGCGCAAGGTGGTGTATTGCCGAACATCCAAGCGGTTCTGCTACCGAAGAAAACCGCTGAGAAAGTTTAAGAGTTCAAAGAAATGCTGTTCTCCCGTAATAATGGGCTATTATTGATCATATTTCTGCCCTTTTTCCTGGTGGTGTAGAGAGGAGTTGGTGCAATTAGTTTGTCCCTGAATAATGCGTAAAGGTTTTACTCTATTTATGAGGTAAAGCTGTAGTCATAATGGTTATCAATTACACAAGCAGTCATTTGTGCTTTTATCTTCTACCTCTTATCACTCTCAAACCCTATGCAATTTATTGTTCGATATCATTGTCAATGTCTGTATATACTCGTATAATATATTATGGGAAACTTCCGCACAGATTTGATCTCGTGTATCATTCAGCGTTTACATTAATAAATACATTTTATATACATTGACGGACATATGAGTCACACACACCAGCATTGCGCGAAATATTTTGATGTTAATTCCATAAGAGGTCATTACAAACAGAGGTAAAAGATTAGCGATAATTATGGTGATAATTCTGTCGAAAAGTCTGTCCTGAATGACCGTAGTGAGTGACCTTACGTGACCCCACAAATTCACTAGCATTCAGGGTTCCACATGCTGTATTGATTATTGAAATTTGGCGAAACACTTTATGAAGGGTGGGATGCGTGGTACTGAAGCCGCCCCGATATGGTCATACCCGATATCGCCATATAATGAACTCATCCGTGCATTAACCGCCATTTTCTCATCACCGGTTGACATTGGACGTTAACAGATAGATGGGTGGTAAAAGGTAGGTAAAGGATGCCATCACACGTTACCGGAAAGTATCAAATAATAATATCCAAAGAATTACAAGATCTACAACTCGACGACTGGTACGTCGTGGTGAAAGTGGAACATGTCACAGAATTGATACATGAAGAAACACCCAGCGTGATAAAGTATTCCTGGAAATTGCTATGAAAAAACAAAACGTTAAACACTGATTTTCTCAACAGGAAAATGAAATAGTTCTCGCGGACTATGTATTAGTATCCGTGAAAACTAACACATTCTCCACGAGAACTAAGATATACTTCACAATATGAAAAATACCAACCGGGAGAACTAAGATATGCTTCTCCAATGAAAAATATCGTCAGCGAGAACTAAGATACACTTCGCAATATGAAAAATATAAGTCCACGGGAACTAAGATATACTTCGCAATATGAAAAATATCGACCGCAAGAACCAAGATATAGTCCGCGAGATGAAAAATATCATC